AGACAGGTCTTTGGAGAGGGACATTATTCTGGGTAGAGTAGAGGGACAGCGCAGGAGGGGAAGACCCTCTATTAGGTTGATTTATTCAGTGACTGGGGTAATCGGGATGGGCGTGTCAGAGGCAGTGCGGTTGGCGCAGGATAGAGCAGGGTTTAGGGCTGTTGTGTATAGGGTCGCTATTAGTTGCAATCGACTCGACGGCACATAACAACGACAGCAACAACAACATCCTTTAAGTCTTTTTATTTCTCACGTTTCCATCTCTTATCTCTTGCTTTCCTGACAACTTCTCTGTTGAACAACTCCAACTCTTCTTTTCTTTTACTATTATGCTTTCAATGTAAGTTTACAAAAAGGTGAATTTTCATATATTTGTTGTTAATAGTTTCCTTCATACTCCTCCCCCAGTCCACTTTGCTTGCAGTATAGTTATTATTCCAGATTGTTCTCATAAATATAATGCCTAATCATAAATTCCTTTTAAACAGTTCTTTCTCACATCTGGTGCAATGCAGTGTTCATTATCTGTCCACTCTTCTTCTAGTTTGTCCCCAATCTCTCCCTCCCATGTCATTCCTACTTTATAACTTGTGTTATGTAGTATTTGTCTTTTTATTATTGAGGTATTTCACTTAGTATCCAAGGTCACCCATGTTGTGTAATGTTTCATTTTTTTTGAATGGTTATATAAAAATAATTCATTTGTTGATGGGTGCTTGTGTTCCATGTTTTTGCTTTTGTGAATAACACAGCAATAAACATGGGTGTCCATTCATATGTTTGGGTGGCATCTTTGGTTTCTATAGATTATATTCCCAGTAGTTGAATTATTAGGTCAAATGTATTTCTATTTACAACTTTTTGAGAAGTGCCAGGCCATCTTTCATTTTACATTTCCACCAGCAGTGAATAATGGTTCCATTCTCTCCACAGCCTTGGCAGCATTTGTTATGTGTTGCTCTGTTGAACTTTGCTATTGTTACTGGGGTGGTAGGAAATCTCATAGTTGTTTTTATCTGTGTCTCCCTGAGACCTTGGGATTTTGAACATTTCTTCATATGTTTGTTTGCTAACTAACTATTCATATCCTGTTTGTTTATATATTATATCCTGTGCCCATTTTGGGATTGGGTTGTTTACCTTTTTCTTGTTAAGGTTCTGGAGTATCTTGTAAATTTTAGATCTGAGTCCCTTATCAGATATGTCATTGCCAAATATTTGTCCTAGTCTCTAGGTTTCCTTTTTAACCTGTTGGAGAAGATTTATTATGTGCATAGGGTTTTTTTATTTTTATTTCTTTTATATCTGACTGCGCAGGAGGATACTGTCCCTCCTCCTTCAGCAGAACATTTGGTGGATTTGAACTATGCACCTCTGGAATTGCAGTGCAGCTTCCTGCCACTAGGCCACCAGAGCTCGCCATGCATACGGATTTGATTCTTAATAGGTCCCATTCATACAGATAAATTTTTTCCCCTGGTTGTAGGTTTTTATTATATTTGGAAAACTGTTGATGCTGTAGATTAGGGCTTCCAGAGTTCTTCCTAGCTTTTCTCTGATGAAATTTATAGTCTTTGGTTTTACTCTGAGGTCCTCGATCCATCTGGAGTAAGTTTTTGTGTATGGTGTGAGGTATGGGTCTAGTTTGAATTTTCTACAAATGGTTTTAGAATTTTGACAAAACCATTTGTTAAATAGGCTATCATTTCCTCACTTTATGATTTCATCTTCTTGTCAGAAATCAGTTGGCCATAGGTTGATGAGCTGCTTTCTGGTTCTAATTTCTGTTCCATTGATCTGTGTGTCTGTCATGGTATAGGTACCACACTGTTTGTATAGTAGTATTTGAGATCAGTGATGCAATGCCTTTTACCTTATTTTTCCATTTCAGTTGTGCTTTACATATTTGGGCAAATTTAATTTTTTACTTTTACTTACTCCATTATTTTTCTTCAAAGGAGAGCTATTGTTAAGTGCCATCAAGTTAAGTACAATTCCTGGTGACCCCATGGACAACAGAACTTTGTCCTGTCCTATGCCATCTTCATTATTTATGACGTGTGTGAGTTCATTGTGGCTGTCACTATGTCAGTCCATCTTGTTAAGAGTCTTCCTCTCTTTTGCTGACCAAGCATGATGTCTCTTTCTAAGGTATAGCCTCCTAACAACATGCCCAAAGTGTGTGAAATGAAGCTTTGCCATCTTTGCCTCCAAGGAGAAGCAGACATATCTCTTTATCAGCAAAAACTGACAAGTAGAATGAATCTAGCTCAAGCTTAATATGTTTTCAGATGACTTCTGGCACTAAATAGAATGAAAATTTAACAATGCAAAATAAGTTAAGTACTACCCTACACATTTTTAAATTTACCATGATATTTTGGAGCATTCTCAGTTATTGAATATTTTAAATTGTCTTCCTACTCTTGGGGAAAAAACCCACATGTTATTATTTTAAAAGGATAGATTTTACTACTATTTTAAGTACCCAAAGAGAGTGGAGGCAGGCTTTTGCAAACAAAGTCCAGAAGGATAAGTTACTCATTTGCCTTTGCTGGAGGAAAATGACAAGTTGTTTTCTCCAGGATGAATCTAAGTTGCCTTTAATTAAAGAATAGATATAGGTTACTGAGAACTTTGAGATCTGAATTCATGAATCTTTACATGAATCATTTTCCTCATAGTGTTTTCGATTGTCTTCTGTTTAAGAGTGCAGTTTAGTTATAATAATATCCTGTAATAGTTAGTCAGCATTTTTATTTGAATTATGAGAAAATTTCTTATTTAATCTTTCATAGAGACTTTTAATAATTCTCTTATGCTGTTAGATATTCCAGTGGAAATATAAAAGCTTTGTAATAGGATTTGAAAATTTTATTAGACACAGTCTTAACAAGACTGGCTACTATAGTACAGTAGTGGTTTTAAGGCTTTCACATAAGAAAACTTTCTCTGCCTAGCAGGCTTCTTTTGGTTCTCTCTCTTTTTTTTTCCTTTTGGTTCTCTTAATGTTTACTATCTGAAAGGCGCTAGATACGTTTGATTATTCTTTTATCGCTCCCTTATGTTTTAAGTATATACTAGCACATTTAGGAGCCCTGGTCAAATACTAGTGAAAGTTCTCAGCTGCTAATGGAAAAATCTGAGGGTTGAACCAATAGTTGTTCATCGACAAAGATATGACAGTCTGTTTCTGTAAACCATTATGGGTCATTTCTACTCTGTCCTATATTGTCATTGTGAGCTACAATTGTCTTAATAGGAGGCAGTTTAGGTTTTGGTATTAGCACATTTGGAACTGCAGTAATTCTTTCAGATATCTTTACTGTTGCAGTAATTTAGTGTTCTTGCCATGAATCAGGGAGACATTTTATGAGATTAAACAAAGATTGATATTTCTTTGTAACAAAACAACCTATACTATGTAGCTATTCCACATTATCTTATACTTACTAAGTTTAAGATAATGTGGTTCACTGGTGATGTACTGGGTGGCTCAGAATGTTGATAAACTATGATTCCTTTGCTATCTTATTAAAATGAATCCTTTAGGTTAACACTCTTAAATATTCACATGTTAAAAATACTAAAATCAGATCACATTTGTGAGTTTGTTAATTTTACTGAAATATGAAACTGGCCTTTAAAAATTTTTAATGTAGTTTGCATGACATTTAAAAAATAATTAGAAAGGATTCTTTCTAGTCATCTAATGCAGATATTTCATTTTCTAAAAAGCTATATTAAGTATTTTTAACTTACATTGTTGTGTGTGTATATATGGTTGTGGAGTAATCAGAGTGATATAAGGGAAACATAAACTTAGTAATAATAAGTACAGTCCACTTGGTTGAATTTCAAGGGAAACACACAAGGTTTGAAGTAAAAGTTAAATGATGACAACATCTTTAGTGGAATCATATTCACAGCTAGTGTTGGATTAACACAGTGACTGCTGTTGTGGCTCTTGTGTCTCAGGAAGTGTGAGGAGGATGCAAGATGAAATAGGGCTCAGATCTTTTGTTCATAGGGTGTATTTGACTCAATGGCACCTAACAACAACAACAACAACATAAAGTAAGTTGAAGTCTGTATATTTCATATGATGTAATCAAAGTAGGTCTGTTTTTAAGTTTTAAAATGAATGAAACTTTTGTTAGTGTGTTAAAAAAATTATAATTTTATTTTTATTAAGGAGAGCTTTATAGTTCTAATTCATTTAATAGTATATGGACAGGTTTCTGGAAAATGTACTTTTTGTCATATGGAACATTTACATATATGTGTGTAAGTTCCATTTTCTTTTGGGGAAAAGAAATTCATATTGCAGACCCATGTTTATTGGTGTATTGTTCACAATAGTAAAGAGATGGAAGCAATCCAAGTTCCCATTAACAAATGAATGAAGCTGTGGATATATTTACACAAAAGAATATTGTGCAGCACTGGAAAACAAGGAACTCATGAAATAATATGCAAAATGAGTGACCCTGGAGGACATTATGCTGAGTTAAATATGGCAGTCACAAAAGGACAAATACTGCATAACACCACTGTTGCAAAACAGGACTGACATGGGGTGGGGAAGGAGATAAGAAAAGAGGGGATAAATAATAGTATATTGGAATAGATGAAGGAAAGAACTATTTAAAAGGAATATATAGTTAAGTATTATTTGCATGACAACAGTCCAGAATAAGAGGTACATATAGGAAAGTGGACTGGGGTGGAGGAAGGAAGAAAATGATGCAACAATGAGTGAATATTTTCTTTTTTTTAAGTGAACTAGGTGGGGCGTAGAGAGGGAAAATGTGCAAGAAAGAATGAATAGAAATCCAAGTTTTCTGTAAATTTTCACTAAAATCACAATTAAAATAATTAAAAGTAAAAAGCAATGTTAAGATTTTCTTTTTAATTTTATATATTCAGTTTTCTCTTGCCATTTTTTTTTATATCCCCCTTCTTCTTTTTTTTTTTTTTTTTTTTTTTTTTTTTTAAAGAAACAAATGCCAGGAGAGCTGTAGACAGAGGATATGTCCAAGTACTTTTAACAGTTTATGTAGATTGGCATCGTCATGATAATCGACATAGAAACATGCTGATTCGGAAAGGAATTTTACAGACTTTAAAAAGTGTTACAAATATAAAGTTGGGAAGAAAAGCTTTTATTGATGCTAATGGGATGAAGATACTATATAACACTTCACAAGTGAGTGTGTTTTTCCTTCCTACTATTGTGATTATGAATTAATGATTTGATTTGTTTATTAAGAAAGCCAAATTGGTTTATGGATACTTAGAAAAGTACCATAAATATTTTTAAACATAGTTTAAAACCGAAAGGCACAGTCATTTGTTCCATGTGACTTCATTCTGAGTTGGGGAAAATGGCATTGTGCATCTCTACAGTGTGAGATGCCCCCCTCCCCAAGTCTTTCTGGCTGGGGAGGAAGAGATGCCATGGAACCGTGGTTTCTAGGATGAGCCTTTGACTTCATTTTGGGTGTTTGCTCAGAAGGTATGTGGTACTTTACTGTGATCTGTGAGTGTTTTACATGTCTTCTTGATGAATTGACCCTTTTGAAAATGTAAGATATTTGAATGTACATTTCATGTATCCTATCTATTTCCTCTTATAGGTCAGTCATTAGTACATTAAAAAATTATTCTTAATATAAGTAGGGTTGTATATTTAATAAATGTTATTTGGAGCTAGAAACTAATTCTAGGTTTAAATTCTTTTATTTACTTTTTAAAATTTTATTATTGTGTGTGTGTGTACCGTCAAATCAGATCTGACTGGTACAGGAGGAGATTGCCCCTCCTTCTCCAGCAGAGCATCTGGTAGATTTGAACCACGTTTAGGTTTAAATTATTTTGTAAGGTGACTTGGTTATGCTCCTTACCATTTCTGAGCCTGGCTTCATCTCACTTAAAGCTCAGGTGTGTGAATGTATGTATTACAAATTTTAAAACATCATGAAGTACCATTTATATACCATTTAATAATAATCTCCTATGATAGAGTTTCATATCCAGTATTCATCCTAGCCTGTCTTAACACTATTTAGGGTCAACACACCAGTATCTTACAACTTGAAATAGTTCTTTTATAAGTTGGGCAACCAACTTATGAGATAACAATACTTGATAGATTTCTAAGAATGAATCAGCAAAATACATGTCTTCTGTGTTCCTTTTTACTTCTTAAACTTAATTCCTTTTTTTTAATCCTTCTTTTCTCTCTTTTTTCCTCTTAGATTTTCTTTTTTTTCTTTTATTCCTTGGACTCGTTAGATATTTTCTTAAGTCATTTATTGTTTCTAATTCTCTTGGTGACTTTTAGCACCAGAGATAGTACTGATTTCTGCTTAGTTAAAATTTTTAAATGAAAATTAATACTAAACTTTCAAAGGTTCTTTCTCTTTTTCTTATAAACAGGAATGCTTGGCAGTCAGAACTCTTGATCCTCTTGTCAACATCTCCAGCCTAATAATGAGGAAGTGTTTCCCTAAAAATCGCCTGCCACTCCCAACAATTAAAAGTTCCTTCCATTTCCAGTTGCCAGTCATTCCTGTGACTGGGCCTGTGGCCCAGCTCTACAGTTTACCACCTGAAGGTAGGACTGCATGCTCACTGTGGGCTTTGGGTAACTCTCTGAAACTGTGACACCTTTGACTCATGTTTGTTCACCTCTTAAGTACAAAGAAGGCATTAATGACCATCAAAAATGTTCACATTTTATTTTCATTAGTTTTATTTTAAGTATAATATATTGAGGTAATAAAGACATTTGATTGTGTGGATCACAATAAACTGTGGCTAACTTTGAGAAGAATGGGAATCCCAGAACACTTGATCTTGCTAATGTGAAACCTGTACTTGGACCAGGAGACAGTCATCAGAGCAGAGCAAAGAAACACTGCATGGTTCAAAATTGGGAAGGGTGTACACCAGGGATGTGTCCTATCTCCATACATTTTCAATTTATATGGGAGGCGGGGCTGTAAGAGGAGAAATGTGGCATCAGGACTGGAGAAACATTCATCACCAATTAGCGTTATGCAGATTGACACAACTCTGCTTGCTGAAATTGAGGAGGACCTGAAGCGCGTGCTGCAGAAGGTCAAGGACTGCAGTCTTCAATAAGGATTGAAGCTCAATATCAAGAAAATAAAGATTCTTACCACTGGGCTAATTGACAGCATCATGATAGATGGTGAAGAGATTGAGATTGTTAACAGCTTTACTTTGTGTGGCTCTATAATCAACACTCTTGGTACCAGCAGCCAGGAAATTAAAAGATGTATTGCAGTGGGAAAATCTGCTGTTAGAGACCTCTCCAAATTACTGAAGAGCAATGATTTAACTCTGGAGACTAGGCCAATGTAGCTCTCTCTTTGTCATTGTCATTGTTATTGTTGTTTGGTGCCATCAAGTCGTAAACGACTCATAGCGATCCTATGAACGAACGGCCTGAGCATTGTTTGTACATAGAGTTTCTGGAGGCAAGCCATTTTGGAAGTGACCTAGTGGAAAGGAAGTTGTGCTACCAAGCCCAAGGTGGGTGATTTTCATCTGTGGCCCTCGGCCAGGTTCAAATTTTTTTCTGTCAAACATTCTTCTAGGTGGTATAGCACTAGTCTGTGTGTTGCTCTTCTGAGGTAACTTGTGGTTGCTGTGATGCTGAAGACTGTGACAGTGATGTGCCAGTTGTGGTAATGGGTACCCATGGTGGACAGTGTTGGCTGGAGCTTCCGGGCTAAAACAAGTCTGGAAGCAGGAGCGGCATCCACTTCTGAAATGGCTTGCCTCTGGAAACTCTAATGACTCTAATGACGGCTCAGACCATTCGTTCATAGGATCGCTATGAGTCGTCTACGATTTGATGGCACCTAACAACAACAACAACATTGTAAATATTTAATGAACTTGAATTTTTTTAGTTATAAAACCACAATTACCAATAATTTGATGACTGAACATACCCTAGTGTATGATTTACTTGAACAAAAATATGAAATTATTTAAACTAGACTGTTGAGCATTCTGTACAATGTCTGTACCGTGGAGTTGGAACTGACTTGGAGTTGAACCTCCAGGGGTTTTCAGAGGCAGTAAATCACATGGGAGAGATTATCCATCTTTTTCCCTCAGAGTAGCTGGTAGTTTTGAACTGTATACCTTAAAAAATAGTTAAAAAAAAAAGTTTAGACTTCCTTTTTTCCGCCCCCTTCATAAGCACAAATACTGCATAAGACCATTATTGTGAAAATAGAGGGTAACTATTAAAATATGTATGGTAATTCAAGTAGGGGAGGGCAGAGGATGGCATGAAACCACAGGGCTATAGAATTTGGTGAGTGAAATGAAGGAGATGCTGATGGGAAGGATCTGGGCCAGAAGACAGGGTAATGATGGGCAAGGTCTAATGTTGATTAATTTTATAAAACATAATGCATGCCAATAATTTTATGAAACACAATGTGAATGACAAATAGTGGGAGACACAATGTATATGAACTGTGAAAGCAAACCAGTAAAAAAAAAGCAAAAATCTTCTTAATGTGTGGACATGTAGAATTTACTTGATTCTACCTAACAAAATGGAAAAGAGAAGATAATCTAGATTAGTAATAGAATTTCCACACTTTTCTTGTCGTTTGATAACTTAAAAGAAGGAAGATTCTTTACTTATGAATGCAGCTATTTGAAATGAGTAATTTAAAATAATATTCAGATAATTATAAGTAGTTTTGTTGCTTTTAATATGCACTTATAAGTGCTATCATAAAACATAATTTTAATTAAAAATAATTTTTAAAGCACAGTTTCAGATAATAAAAATATTTGTGTAACATGAATTTTTCAGCAATCTGCTTGAAGTCTAAAACACTCAATTTTGTAAATATAGATACTTGAAAACAGTGGTTTTCTTTTTCGTATTCCATTTGAAATTACCTACAAATTTTGAAATAGGAAACCTGGACAAAATCTGAAACTTAAGAGAAGAATTTTAATAGAATAATTAGAGATTTTATGATGCTGGGATGGGTGGAGGGTTAATGAAGGAGAAGAATACCCTCAACTAGTTGGATAGACATGGTGACATCTTCAATGGGCTCATGTATGTCAGGAAGTGTTGGGATGGTGCAAGATAGAACAAGGTTCATGTCTTTTGTTCATAGGGTTACTGTGAGTCATATTTGACTCAGCAGTACCTAACAACAACAATAATCATAAATAGTAAATAGGATGTTTAATTTAATTGACACACTGCTGAATTATTAATTTATTCTTGTTACTATAAGAGTATATACAACACAATTTTTGTTATTCAACCTAAAAATATTTAGTAATGTCAGTTACTCTGGTGATCTAGTGCTGAGAAGCTTCTCTGCAAATCCAAAGGCACATGATTTAAATCCACTATTCAGTGACTGGGGTAATCGGGATGGGTGTGTCAGAGGCAATGCGATTGGCACAGGATAGAGCAGGGTTTAGGGCTGTTGTACATAGGGTCCCTATGAGTTGCAAACGACTCGACGGCGCATAACAACAACAACAACAACAGCTGCTCTGTGGGAAATGGGTGGGCATTCTTCTGTTTTAGTGACTCTGAAAACTCGCTGGAGCTATGGACCCATTCTGACTTGACAGCAAGTAACAGCAAAGTAATGTCAGTAACATAATTGGCATTCATAATCATTGCTTAATTTCCTGTCAGTAAAAATAAATAAAAAACTCACGGCTTCTTACAAAATGCCCCCTTCCTCCAATTGGTTACCACCAGATAGCTTTGGTTTTGGTGCTCTGAGAATGGCCAACAAAGTAGAGTTGTGCCGCTAACCTAACGATGGTACTGCTTGCTTAGTTTGGATTCATCAGCAGCTACTTGAGAGAAAGTCTTTTCTCATGTACCTCTAGCCTCTGAAAACTCTGAGTCTGCTCCAATTCTGTGGCAGTGAGTTTTGTGCTTTGTTATTCCACATGAGATCATACAGTGTTCTTTTGTGATTGACCTTCTACAGTGACCTTAAGGTTTTCAAGTTAATCTGTGGTTTAACCTGGATCAGGACTTCATTCCTCTTCCTAGCTGAATAGTAGTCCATTCATAGTATTAAGTTTTAAAACTGAGAGTATTAATAAAAACCATTGATTTTTGCATTGCTTTCCAAATTTTAAGGCACTTTCACATATTGTAAACTGTTCTGTCACTTGAGTTAACCTTAGAGGTGTCTTTCAAAGAAATCTTACTTTTATTTTTTGACTATAGAAAATAGTACTTTTTAACTTTGGATGTGCATGTTATAGAAGCTTACCTCTGGCCTACTTATAGCTCATTTTGTATCACAGTGGATGACGTAGTAGATGAAAGTGATGACAACGATGATATTGATATAGAAGCTGAAGATGAAACAGAAAATGAAGAAGATCTGGATCAAGATTTTAAAGTTAGTATATGTTTCTATGAATCTAATGAACTAGATAAACTATGTAGTTCTAAAACAAAGATTCAGTGGTAACATTTTGTTTTGGTAATTTTTTGCCATTAAGGTAATTCATTTCTCATAATGACCACATATGAGGGTTTTCTAAGCTACACATTTTTTAAAAATATTAATTTCAATGAAAATTTACTTTGGATTTCCATTCATTCATTGTTGTGCTTTTCTCCCCTCCCA